TTTTATCCAACAAAATGTGTAGACAAAGAATGAAAACCTTCATTCTCAATCACAAGTCGCATGCATGCATAATGTCAGCATCATAACAACAACTTTTAGCTTAGAAATTCCAGTATGCACTAGTACTATAACTATTCCATCCAGACATACACATCCTGCAGACATGAAGCATTGATTTAGCATTGATTAGAAATGGGGTCTCTTGCCACCTGATATTCCTGAGCTCCTTTTAGCTCTGTTTTGGTCTCCCTGAGGGAAATATCTGCTTTGAATTGCCTCCCCATGTTCACTGCGCCTATCTTGATAAGCATTGTGTCGCTCTGCTGTTTGTGCATGGGCTGGTAGTGTACCCACGTGGGGGCTATCAGAGCTTTTTCACTGAAACAGCTGCTTGCTGTGTCAGCTCTATGAGAGCAATGAGAGTGTAGGACCCAATCCCAAGGACAAATAATCAGGACCTAAACCCAACAATCTACATTCTCCTCACAACATATAATCTGTCAAAAAGACTGTACTAGATTAGACTATAACAATAATAAAATAGTCTCATAGTATATAACATTTTTAAGCTCTGTTAAAAACTGTGTTACAGTACAGTGTTTTTCTCAGAATTAAACTGCTGCATTTATCACATTTGCCAGTCAAGGTTTTGTAAAGTTTAAAAGTTTAACAAAAATTAAATAATTTCAAATTAACAAATGTGTAGTATGTTCTACTCTTGAATTAGAAGATCATAAACTGCAGAGTGTATGTAAAAACTTTTGATGAAGGGCTTTGCATTTTTGCACCTTTTTGCAAACATAATACACTTAAAAACAAAAAAATAATACTACAAAAATATTGTATATGTAAAAAATAGAAATAAATACTTTACAAAGTCCTTTTTTATTTTTTGGTCTATACTTGTAAAACAAAACTGAAAAGAAGAGAAGGAAGAAGAAGGGAGGATTGCAGCAGATAAAAAGGTCAGCACTCCTGAACTGCTGAATCTGCAGGAGACCTGTCTTTGTGCGTTAGTTTGCAGTGTTATAATAACACCTTCAAGCCACCGTATATGGTTCACTTGACTTTTAACAGCGCCCTAACACCTCTCAACATCAAAATCCCAGAGAACCTTAAATGTTTAACAGTCCACATGCAAATAAGGAAGCTATAGCTGAGGGCTGGATAAGTGTCATTTCTGATTTATTCCAGTCTTGCAGCTGCCCAGTGGCTTTACAGGACAGATACTGTCCAGCTGCACTTATTTATTATACATTTTTCCTTGGAGTAACGCAGTGGCTGTTATGTCAGTGTGTGTTTGTATATGTGTGTGT